AAAAAAAAAAAAAAAAAAGAGTCCTGAAATTTTTTTTTCTAATGTCACAATCTCCAAAGATATCAGAAACTGCATTCAAAAGTGTCTATCAAGGTCCTATAGCTGATTACAAAACACCTGTTGAAGAGGATCAAAACAGGACAATTGCCTGTGGATGACAAAAAGCCTTAGGACAGCCACTATTAAAGCCTAAATTACCTAGGAATTTGGGTTACTTCTGTGGCATACAACAATTATACATAACAATTAAATCTGATAATGACAGACACTAAGTCATATCAGAATTAAAGGAGTTTCCCATACTTTTGGAACACACACCAATAACATTTATACGAATACAGCCCAAAGAAATCGAAACACCAGCTCATATTTGACAATGTTCCCTGTATGATTTTTATACCAAACATGCCAAATATGTCCTTTTTGGACTTTAGGGACCTAATATCTAAAGATTAATTATGTCAGAATAAGCCATAATTTTAAATTTAATTTTCAAACGTTTGTAAAATATCAAAGGTTTAAAACACTTGATATTATAAAGTAGAATTTTAGGTCACCATAAGTAATTAATTTAGCCAAAATGGTCACTCAAAAATTTTAGAAGACAAAAACCTTTACTCACTGAAAGAGAGAAGACTTAGTTTTCCAAATAATTTGTGTCTTGTCTATCTCTTATTTTTTCTTTAGTTTATTCTAACGGCAAACTTTTTTAAAATTATTTTTTGATTTGACATGAAAATTTTGTTCAAGAGCTAAAGCCAAATTTCACCCTTTCCATTGGTATATCATTAATGTCAACCCCAATTTTTAATAAAACCTCATAGACAAATATATTCAATTTTAATATCTTAATTTAATTATCTAAATTATCTTAATATCTCAATGTTAATATTTTAATAACTCTTCACAAATTTTTGTTAAAGAGTAGATTAGTGCTATAAGAAAACTCAGTTGTGCTTTTATTCCAATGTTCAGTTTATGAAAAAACTGAATAATATCCCTTTAACTTTAGCCAATATGTTCACACGTGTAATGTCTTTTATAAGATCAATTTTTACAAAGCTTCCATAGCTTACTCAAACTTTCAGCTATACCCATTTCAACTTAGAAGAATCCTTTAACCCTCTGACATGGTTTGGCTGTACCCCACCCAAAATCTCATCTTGAATTATAATTGGAATTGTACTCTGTACATGTTGGGAGAGGAACCTGGTGGGAGATCATGAGGATGGTTTCCACGTGCTGTTTTCATCATAGTGAGCGACTTCTCATGAGATCTGATGGTTTTATATTGCTATGCACTTCTCTCTCCTGCCACCATGTGAAGATGGACATGTTTGCTTCCTTTTCAACCATAATTTTAAGTTTCCTAAAGACTCCTCAGCCCTGCAGAAGCATGAGTCAATTAAACCTCTTTCCTTTATAAATTACCCAGTCCTGGGCAGTTCTTTATAGCAGTGTGAGAACAGACTAATGCACCCTCTAAACTAGACCAAAAAAATAATCTACATTCTCATGAATTCTTATACTCTTTCCCCAAAAACACATTTTACTTTCCTTACATACATTGCATGTAAAACGTTTTCCAGTGGCATCAAGTACATGTTACACTATTCATGCAGAAACTTTTACTTTGGTGAACAACCTGGTAAGTAAGTGATTCTGATTATGTACCAGGTGCGGAGCCTAGGGCATCAGACAGAAGTCCAGATGAAGTTGGACTCATTCCAGCACACCTAGGAGGCATGGCTAACTCCACATGTCCCTAGGACTTACCTAGACTCTAATAGGTCCAAAGCAGGTAAGCTGAACAGTTTTCAAAAGTCAAAGAAGCAATTTATAACCTTAAATCACTTAGCAAACCTAATATCTGAACTGTAAAATTTGGACTAAATGTCTAATTTTTGAAGACATTTTTATTTTACCAATAACCTTTAATTTTAATTTTTTTAAATGAAAGCAAGTTCAGCCCCAAGGGCTGCTGCTTGGATATTTTAATGGTTATTTCTTGATTAAATGCTAAACAAGGGGTAGATTATTCAGGAATATTCCAGGAGAGGGGCTGGGAATTCCTGGAACTGAGAATTTCTTCTCTTTTTAGACCATACTGGGGACTTCCAGGAGTTTCCATGGCATCTGTAAATTGTCATGGTGCTGGTGAATTATAATGACTGTTGTCTTCTTGATTGTGGCTGGGATCAGCTGGGTTCTTTACCACATCCTGTTTTATCAATGGGGTTCCTGTGACCTGTGTCTTGAGAAACAAGTCCTGCTGAATGCCTGTCTCACAGTGAACCCCAATATTAAGAATGAACATCAACTTATCCACTTACCAATTTACCTTTGTTCTAACTTTTCCTTGCCTCAATTTCCTCAACAAATTATTATGAAGATTAAATAAATTTGTTCCTGGAAAGCACTTTATATAGTACCTCTGTACTGTACCTATCTGTAGTAAGTTAATAACACTTTAATAATTTTTAGTCTGAATCTAACAGCTTTCTCTCAGAATCCTGAGGGAGTATTATTAAAGTTATGTTCTACTTCCACAAAATAGGCTAAGTCTACATTTATGCTGAGAACCATGGTAATCCACATCTACTTTCAAAAATGTTGGAAATTTTGCCTGGATACATTATGTGAAGATTTTGAGATAGGTTGCTAGAAGTGGAATTGTTGATATTTATATTTTAAATGTTGGTATTGTCAAATTGCGTTTTATATCAGCAGTATTTGAAAGTACTTATTTCTCCATATCTTAACCAATAATAAATATTAATGATTTATTAGATTTTTGCCAGTTTAATGAGAAAAACCTCATTTTAAGTTTGTATTACTCTGATTACCAGTGAGATCAGATATCTTTCTAAAAAATATGGAATGTCTTATGAATTTACATGTCATCCTTTTGCAGAGGCCATGCTAATCATCTCTGTATCATTCTAATTTTAATATATATGCTACCAAGGTGAGCACAATCAATAATCTTTAAAAATGTATTTCCTAAAGCTTCCTAAAGTTAAGTGAACTAAAAGGCATTATAGTTTTTATTTTTCTGACAATACATTTAAGTGCCTACTATTTTTAAGCCAATTAATCAAAGCTCTTTCATATCACATACAACACATAAATACGTAACAGAAGAGGATCCAGTGATTGCAAGGATTTTCATTTTCCAGTTTCAAGTTCCTCTTTAAGGCATGCAGTTTCTATGGCTTAATAAGCAGGCACAAGTAGAAGGCAAAACAAATCCCCCAAAATTAAGATCCCATTTTTATAGCAGATCCTTGATTCCCCCCAAAGAAAATCAGCCCATCTCCTGTAGAAATCTTGTCTCTCAGTGGGGGGTGGGCACATTTCCATACTTTCTGGGTGTCCGAGGACATGGCTTCTCTGTTCCAAACGTGCAAAGAGAAGAGTTTCCTCCCATAACTGCTGCTAGACATTCCTAACAGTATATTTTCCAGCTAGTCATTACACACCAAAGCTCTTTCATAATTCAGCCATTTCTGATATTCTCTCAATAGTCAAAAATGTCAGATAATGCAAAATGGAACATAATGCAAAATGCAACAGAGCCTTAGATTTTAAGAGGGATTTATCTACTTTTAAGTCCTGGGGTTTCATGAGGAAAACAAAGGTTTTTCCCCAAACAGGGTCTGTGGCGCCTCCTCTGTTTTTCCCCAGGAGTCCCAAGCTGTTAGAAATTCTCTTATATCCTCTCATGTGTGCATCAAGAATGGCAGACAGAATGGAGAAAAATAATTTAGTCAACTGAGAAGAAAAAAAAAAACACATTTTTTTCTTCAGAAAAATGAGATTCAAGAAGAGAAAAAATAACATAAAGCCCTTCTAAATATATGTATAGTTTGGCTATCTACTTTTTAATTAAGCTGACTTATAACCATAGCACTTTAAAAAAAGAACCTTTTAAATTATTTTATTACCTAACTTTTCTGGCTTTTGTGGTTTACCAAAGGTAACCTCCCAGGTGCTCAGAGAAAGAAAAATTCAAGATAGGAAATCACAAGTTGTTCATGGAAGGGAAGATAACACAGGGCAAAAGTCACATGGATATCAGAGCAGGAAGGACTCATTTCCTAAGCTAAAAATTGAACCGTGAACCCGGCCATCATTATGAAAAGACAAAGCCTTAGCTACTAAGCTACAGTACTGGGCAGTATCCATTGCTGTTCCCAGAAGAAGTCTAAAGCAGCCAATTTGAACTTGCAAAGACTCAAGATGATTTTTAAAGCTATGGCCTTAACCCCAAAATTCCTGTTCGCTGGCTGGCAGAGACCAAGAGAAAGCACTGCCACATGGTTACAAAGTCAAGCTCTCAAGGAAATAAAACAAGATGAGAGGAATTCTTCATCCCATTTTTTTTTTTTTTCCGTTTTCAGGGACCTTCAGCAAACTTTGCAACTGACCAGTTTGCCAGGCTGATTTGAAGAGTGGGTTTATACGGGGTCCTAAGCCCACATTCTATCCTAAAATATTTCTCTTTATGGCAGAGCAATACAGAGAGACACATTTATAGCACAAAGTATACCAGATTCTCGGTAGCTTAAGACTAGCCTCACCAATCCTTTTTCCCAGTAATCAAAACTTTACAGAGAACATAAACAGTGATTTCTACCGTTAATTCAACCAGTTTGCACAGAGAGAGAGGTCAGAAGCCTGACTGGTAAGAAATTCTTACCCTTTGGGCAACATTTCAGGTTTCTGGGTTCCCTTGCCCTGAGCAGCCCTACTGACCCTGCTTGCTGCACCATAGCCCCGGGGGCCAAACTGCATTACAAAGGAAAATTACCTTTTTTCTATTTCATGAAGCCATAGGCAAAAGACTCAATTTTGCAAGATACCGTGCAAGAGGTTGCATGGGGTAACCAAATTAATGTTTTCCATTATGGCGAGAGAAAAATACGTGTGATTTGACAAAACATAGATATTAGTCACTTCACTTAGCAGTCAATATCAAGCCGGTGAGTCCCAAACATGCCCCAGGATGGGCCCTGCCGTCTTTAATCCATTCAAAGTGGGTTAGAATGACCTTTGACCAAGAGTTTCAAGGTGTAGACTCTGAGCAAGCTGGTAGCCCTGAGGAACAGAAATAATGGGAAAGGGAAATGAGAGAAAGAGAGAGAGAAAAGCATTGCTTGTGGCAGGATGGGGAAGGCAAAGACCTCAGGGAAGCAAGAAAAAGACTCACCCATTGCAGCAACACTGAATCAAAAGTTCAGGCAGCTGTTTGCCAGTGGCAAAGGAAACTTTTCCAGCAGTCTCATGAGCTCTGAAGTCTCCCCCTCTAGGAAGGAAAAAAGCTCCCATGTCCCATGATTATGTACATGCCTAATCCTGTCCCTACAGCCATCAGCAAAGAGAGCAAGGAAAATTAATCCAGAGAATAGTGGTTAGCATCCCATAGTGCAAAACCCATTTTTAACCCAAATAGACTTTACTAAGAGCAGGCTCTCACCCTCTAAATCTTAGGAGGGACACTCACCTTCTTAAGTTGAGCCTTTAACCCAAGTTTGGCCAAGCGTTCTTGCCTTTTATTAAGAGGTGCCTTTCACTCTCTTTATCTTAGGGGAGACCATAATCTTCCTGAATTGGGCCTCTAGCCCAATCCCATCCTTTACCTGGGTGAAATGTACCCCACCACTTACCCAAAAGCTGCCCATTGATGCTGCATTCTATTTCCTTTGTGTAGGGGGTCTCCTCAGTGTAGTCCCTTCATGGTTGCCAGGAAGATGTTACTGGGAAGCGGTGCCAATCCAGACCCCAAGAGAGGGTTCTTGGATTCCATGCAAGAAAGAATTCAGGGCAAGTCTATAGATTACAGTGAAAGCAAGTTTAATAAGAAAGTAAAGAAACAAAACGACGAAAGAATGACTACTCCAAAGGCAGAGTAGTGGCATGACCTGCTCAACTAAGTTTACTTATAGTTATTTCTTGATTAGATGCTAACCAAGGTGTGGATTATTCATGAGTTTTTTGGGAAAGGGGTGGACAATTCTCAGAACTAAGGGTTCCTCCCGCTTTTAGGCTGTATAGGATAACTTCCTAATGTTGCCGAGACATTTGCAAACTGTCATGGTGCTGGTGGGAGTGTCTTTTGGCATGCAAATGCATTATAATTAGTGTGTAATGAGCAGTGAGCACCACCAGAGGTCACTTGCATCACCATCTTGGTTTTGGTCGGCTTGGGCTGGCTTCTTCACCACAATCTGTTTGATCAGCAAGGTTTGTATGACCTGTATCTCGTGCCAACCTCCTTAGTCATCCTGTGACTAAGAATGCCTAATTTACTGGGAATGTGGCCCAGTAGGCCTAAGACCTATTTTACCCAGTCCCTGTTCGAAATGGAATCACTCTGGTTTAAATGTCTCCGACACTAGGGCAAAGAGTACTCGTCTACAAAAGAATTTCAAGTCTAGAAAACACTGAAATTTGAAGCTACAGCCCCCTCTTTTATAGATGAGAGGAGTGCAAACCAGGGATGGCAAAGACCTGTCCAAATCCTGCCAGCTGTGTTACAGAAAGACCGGGCTCAGAGGCCAGGCCCCTGAGAGGGCCTCCTCATCATGCCCCCTCCCATCAGCAGCTGACACCCTTGCTGTGGATGGAAGGATGTCTGTCCCCTTCCTATGGCATTAGAAGGGAAAAAATTACTACTCAGTTCTGCAGTGGTTGTCCTGATAAGGACAACACGCAGGGTAGCAGCCTTCTCACATCTCTTTCATTTATTCCGTATCCCATAAACAAGTTTGGTCAAGCATTTTTTCCTTTTTTTAGGAGGGACCTTTAACCCTCTCTGTCTTAGGAGAGACTCTAGTCCTTTAACCCAACCCCATCCTTTTTACCCAGGTAAAATGTACCCCACCACTTACCCAAAGTAAGTTGGGTAATTCTCTTTTCTGTTAATGCTCAACTGTGCAACATGAGTAATCATCTGCTCACTTTACTTACATTTTATATGTTTTAGGTGGGAACTTGAAAGTTTTTAGTCGTCTGTTTTGTTTTGTTTTAATCCAATGATCACCCATATTCCATTCAAACAAAAAGAACACAGCATGAACAAGAGCTTCTGTTGCTGTTGCTAATCTATCCTGTCCCTTTGAATGCAGCGTCTACAATGTTTGGGTTGCCATCGTATTACTTTGGCATTGGCTGGATGCTAAATGTGCATCACCTTTATAGAAAAATTACCAGTCAGCAAATCAGCAAAGTTACTGAGGTCATGCTGGAGGTCAGGCATGAGTTGGCTATGCTATAGCAAAGCAGCATAGTCTAGAGGAGAGTCTAAGGGCATTTAATTTAAAGAAAAAAAAAGAATTTGAATTTTAACTGTGAACATACCAGCTATAAAAGGTGTAATTACTCAGAATTTTATTTCCTCAATAATAAATTAATGTTATTAATCTTACATTTGAACTACTGTATTATATAATATATATGTTATTGATCATCCACTTAAACTACTATATATAATATATAAATATATATATTTAAATATATATTATATATATTCTCCAACAGTAGTTCAAGTAAAGGATTAATAACTATATCTATATCTATATCTGCATGTGTGTATATATATATATATATATATATACAGAGAGAGAGAGAGAGAGACACATTGCATATATTGAATAAATGGATAAATGGTAATTGCTATATTTATTTATACATTTCACAAATTTACTTTTTGCTGAACTAAAGTATGTTTTCATTTTTCCTAAATTAATGTATTTGGTGCTTATTTCTAACACTTCTGTTATTTTACAAATTATTTATTTACCATTGGATTTGCGAGGTTGCTCAACGCAGCTTCATGGAAAGCCTGGATGTTGCAAGGCACTGGAAGATAGAATGCTCACCTTACTCTTCCACTGCCTCTAGGACCATGGAGACAGGTCTTTAAACTTCGGTGTCCTCCCTTGCTTGGAAGAAAGGCTTCTTCTAGCGTGGCCATTAGGTTGTGTCCTCCAGTGACACACTTCCAGAATGGTCCTGGCCCAGCTCCAGAGGTACCATCACAGGGAGCCCTGTGAATATTTGTTCTGAGTGAGGATGACACAGCTCCTGGTCAGTATTCAGCAGCTACATTTGTTGCATCCTCTACATAGTACAGTGAAAGTTTATGGATCAAATTAGCCAGAGCAAGAGATACCTAGGGTAGTGTCTGGGCTGGGTGCTCGGACTGTGACCAAGGGAAATAACTCAGTGTTAATTCTCTTACCTGAACAGTCACATGAGACACACTTCCTAATATTATTTCAAGGCTCAAAATAATTTGAATATGCTGTCTCCAAACTCTAGTTCCTTCTCTAGGCAAAAGAAAGTGTTTAGGAAGATAGATGTTTCAGAAAGAGGACATAAATACTGTGAAAGGCAGGAGCCCTGAGATGCTCATGGGAAGGCACAATCTCAGCAACCCTGGGGTTTGTGGCATCCTTAAGAATGAAAAAAGAGATGGAGAAGTTGTGGTTGATCAGAGGAATTTCAGGGGCACAATGACAAGCACTGAATTATTGGCCAAGTGGCTAAGTCCCTCTGTTAGCGTCACACATTCTGTTTAATTCTTTTCTTCTGTGTTTCTTTTCCTCCTTTTCTTTCCTCCAACAATTATTTAGGAATCACCACCATATGCCTAATGTAGTGTGAAAAGTTAGGTATTCAAAGATGAATAGAATGAGATCTTTGCCCTCAGCAACATCACAATCTTTTGTGATGAGAGACTTCAAAAGATGAGTACATCCTAACTGTACAATATAATAAAAGCAAAACTACAAATTGGCACATGTGAACACAGAGGAAGGGGCAACTAACCCAGTTAAATGGAGAAAAGACAGGAAGCTTTTCAATAGGAAGTGGACAGTCAAAAAGTATTATAATTAGAGAACAAAGGCTGAAAAACAAACCCAAAATTCTGATAAAGCAGATCTTATGCCTAGACACACAAGGGTGCACACACACAAACACACACAGATACACACATACACAATCCCAAGCAGACACACACACACAAAAGAAACAGACAGATACACATACAGTTACAAACACAGAGACACACACAAGCAAAGGAGAACAATAGAACTTACAGTAAAAAACAAACACAGATAACAGCTCACATTTATTGAATATATAATTACATATTGGGTTCTGGGATAACCATATCATATTTATTAGCTTAGTGTTTCTCACACTATCGGTCACAAAGAACTGTGTTTTTCTCACTTGTAATCTGTTGTAATTGGATAATAATCCAATTGCATGACTAAAGCAAAGCTTGTGCCCTATACAACTTAACATGTGAGTTTGACAACTTCCAAACTAATATGAATCCTATTCAACTAGACCCATCTGGTGATTGCACACTTAGATGTCATGATAATGTCAAATTACCATAAAATATGAAAATGTTTTCTCTCGGTGTCTGCACTATTTTTTGACTAGCAACTAACAATGCTCCACAGGCAGAGCTGCTCATGGACATGTGACCTGTGAGGCTGCATAGGTCACCATGCTCCTCTGGGACCCAGGCTTGGTTACCTGCTCAGCTGTCATCATTTTGAAATTCCTGATGACATTTGAGGAAATATCCCTTCATTTTCTTTTTTCCACTGGGTGCTGCCAACTATCTAGCTGGTCCTATCCATAGATCACTCTCTGAGTAGCATGGTATTAATGCATTTCTCACAAATGTTATTTGAGGTAGGTACTGTCTTTAGCTTCATTTTCAGAAGAGGAATGTGACATATGACACACAAAGTGGTTGAGGCTAACACAGTTGATGAGGGGCAAGCAGATCTGAAGCCAAGCAATCTGTCTCCAAAGCACAGACTGCTCACCCATGCAAAGTAAAGCAAATGCTGGGAGGTTATCACATGCCCAGTGTTGCTAAAGCAGAGGAATAGAACAGAAATCCCTCATCGGCAGAGAGAAGTTGTCCTTTCCAACCTGAAGTGGGAATGATTTCAAAGATACTGCAGCATAGGCAATAAGGTTGTGTTATTCTACAACTTGGTATAGAGGGCATGAGAAAGAAATGTCTTGTGATATTTTTAATTTTTGGGCTATCAACACATGAAATTATTGTCAATTTGAGATGCAATCCTGCCAGATCTGAATGGCCCAGAAACAATTCTTTTGGCTTCCCTTTCCCCTGGACATGGCCAGGTGACTGAGGCTCAGTGAGACAGATACGTGCATCAGGTCAGGAGCTCATGACATAACAGAACAACTAAAGTGGAGGATTCCCTACAGTGGCTGAAGATGGTGGCAGCATGTCTAGTCCCTCAGGTTTGCAACTGCCCCATGTTAAGTGCAAAGCTTTGGTGGCACCTTCTGTGGTGACCTGCATCTGGTGATAAGGGACATGGTGGTGATCTGTCCTACGGCTGCTCTGGGCCCCTTCCCCTTTACAAGCCAGCTCTTCCACGCTTCACAACTGTTACTTCACTCCCTGGCATCCTTTTAATAATTTTCTTTTTCTCATACTGGCTCCAATCTGAATCTTTTCTTTGCTAACAAGAGCCTTTACTGAGACAAAGACTGAATGCAAACATGACATAAATCTTGACATTTCAAAACAAAAGACGGTCCCAGTTTTAAAACTGAGGCACTGTGGGTTGTACATGAAAGAAAGAGTTTCTGAATACTGTAAAAAGTGGAATTAGGATGGGGTTAATGATTCTCTTTAACATTAAATATTAATTATCAAGATTAATAACAATCTTACAATTATGGAGGGTATTTTCTACCTGAAGAACCGCTAAGAGCCCATTGAATTTATAAGCCAAGGTAATATATAGAACATAAAATCA